CTCCCATTGTGGAGCACAGGCTCCGGACGCGCAGGCTCAGCAGCCATGGCCCACGGGCCCAGCTGCTCCGCCGCATGTGGGGTCCTCCCGGACCGGGGCCCGACCCCGCGTCCCCTGCATCGGCAGGCGGACTCTCAACCACTGCGCCAGTGGGGAAGCCCCACTGAGCTTTTTAATGTCTCCATAGTTTTGCCTTTTCCAGAATGCTGTATAGTTGGAATCATACAGTACCCCTTTCTGATTGGCTTCTTTCACTTGGTAATATGCATTTAAGTTTCCTCCACGTCTTTTCATGGCTTTATAGCTCATTTCTTTTTAGAAGCGAATAACATTCCACTGTCTGGATGTACCACAGTTTGTTTATCCATTCACCTCCTGAAGGACATCTGGGATGCTTCCAAGTTTTAGCAGTTATGAATAAGGCTGATATAAACATCCTTGTGCAGGTTTTTGTGAGGACATAAGTTTTTGACTCATTTGGGTAAAACATCAAGGAGCATGACTGATGGATCATATGGTAAGAGTATGTCCTGTAATAAACTGCCAAAATACCTTCCGCAATGGCTGTACCAATTCGCATTCTCACCAGCAATGAATGAGAGTTCCTATTGCTCCACATCCTCGCCAGCATTCTGGATTTTGGTCATTCCAATAGGTGTGTAGTAGTATCCTGCTGTTTTAATTTGCAATTCCTAAATGACATATGATGTTGGAATGTTTTCATATGCTGACTTGCCATCTATATATCTTCTTTTTTTGAAATTAATTAATTTATTTATTTTGGCTGCACTGAGGCACACAGGCTTAGTTGCGGCATGTGGGATCTTAATTCCCCGAACAGGGATCGAACCCGGGCCCTCTGCACTGGGAGCGCAGAGTCTTAACCACTGGACCACCAGGGATGTCCCTATGTATCTTCTTTGGCGAGGTGCGTGTTCAGGTCTTTTGCCCACTTTTTAATCGGGTTGTTTGTTTTCTTATTGTTGAGTTTTAAGAGTTCTTTGTACATTTTAGATAACAGTCCTTTATCAGATGTATCTTTAGCAAATATTTTCTCTTACTCTGTGGCTTGTGTTCTCATTCCCTTGAATTTTACATTTAAAAAATGTAAATACCGCGGGGCTTCCCTGGTGGTGCAGTGGTTGAGAGTCTGCCTGCCGATGCAGGGGACACGGGTTCGTGCCCTGGTCTGGGAAGATCCCACATGCCGCGG